GCTTTTTAGAACTTTTTATAGGAAAGGCTTTGCCCAAAAAAGTTCTTACGCATATGGTCCAAATTATCATCCCACATGGAGGGGAGTGGTTCAGATATGAAGAGGTACCTTTTTGTAATATGTGAAACTTCAATATTAAATTTAATTTGGATTTGTTATCTAGGGTTTATTACTTGGTCTGTTGAATCAGTATGTAAAGCACCAATCAAGTTGACACTTCAGATTTAAAAAGTGCTGAAAAATAAACCATCCGGAGCCCTTTGTACAGATGTGGCCTGGCAACAAGAGTAGCTGTTTTATTCTCAACCATCCAGTCAGATTAAAAACAAGACCTCAACTAAATTATACAAAACTACTTGTTAGAGCACTAATTTTTTTTGGCACTTGATAGTGTATAATTGGAAGATTTAAGTGGAAAGATTACATTCCCTCATCAGGCATCCTTTTAATGTGTGTCCAGTGAGATTATGTAACTTGCCAGCCAGCTGTCCAGCTACTATGAATCTTTTCCTGTGACCCCTTTCTCCCTCAACATGTACTTTCTCTAAGATAACCTCTGGTCATTTTAAAATACCACACTGAAGCAGTAAGCTCAACTTAGTTGATAAATAGCTGGAAAAAAGACTGGTGAACGATGCTTATTCTTGAATAGCAAATCACATGAATCATATCCACTCAATTTTCCCCACACTAAAAATCCATGAAGGATAGCAGTATCATCCTGTTTGTTTAACTTGTTGAATTTTTAGCCCTAATTCAGATACTTGTACCCTGGCTGCTTCAGAAAAAAAAGTCAATATTTTGAGTAAACCAAATCAATACCATTGAGAGAGCCTACACTTTAACATCAATATGAACAGTAATTTCTCATTTTTGGGGGGGTGGGGGTGGGGAAGGGAGCAGAAAAGAGCAACTATTTGCTAGAGCCAGTTTAGTTAAAATAAAACCAAGTATTTTAAGCTAAAAGCTCTCTGAAAGCCACGTACACCACAGCCACCGATCCGCACTGCTAGTAACACTCATTTTGGTAAGCATTTCTGAAGCATGATTTTCCCTTCAAAAACCAACATTAGGCAGAGTCCGACATGGCTGCAGTCAGCAATTGTTTAACAAATGTTTTAACATTAACATCTTTGAACATTAGCTGATTCACTTGATCAGAATTTAGTGTATTAGTTAATTGCTTCATGTTACTACTTTGAACAAAAGTAACTTGGTCTTTATGCAGAATAGTTTAGGATCTCTGGGTAGTGAATTTCATGAAGGATTGTAGACTGATTTAGAGGCTTAAAACTGTACTGCTGTATAGTTTAGTTTTTCTGTGCTAAGTGTTTAGACTATAACAATGCAACAGAGACTTTATTACACAAGTTTCTTTTGTTTACACTTAGATCAATACTGCTATTTAGTTTCAGAATCAAATAAAAAATTTTTAATTAAACCTCATGCACTAGTTTTTCTTGACCAGTTGCACTGTCCTTTCCTTTTTATAAAGGATGAGCTGAGCTCAAATATTTGATCTTTAACTGTTTCTAAACCTGACTTAGTGAGCTTAGCTAATTCTACAGTTGCTGAAATGTTCATCAAGTACACCAACAAAGCACTACATAATTGGAAGTGGATTCTTCAAGCTTTACTGCTTATTCCTCATCACAAAGAGCCCTTTGTACTTGCTAGATTTGGCCTGTCACTGGGACTAGCTTTTTTATTCTCCAGCATCATTCCATTTAGTCACAAAATGATAGACAGCTATTATTGTACTGGACAGTCACACAAGCATAAACTAGTGATCCCTACAACAACAACAACACCACTATCTTGCAAGTGAAGAGTCAATTCAGCTCTTAGGTTCTTGTTTTGAGGTGCATCATTAAGTGGTCTACATCATGTTATGTATTGCTTTCCAGAAGACCAAGTACTGGCTCTATCCATTATAATAAATTGTGGAGGAGAAGTGCTCAATATGGAGGCTGATGGAATTCCATTAGATGTTGCTCAGTTATATATTCAGTGAAAGGTTGAAGTCTGTATTTTACTTGAAGGCATTAGTTTTCTTCTTGCTGCTAACTGAAGTTCTCAATCCTTAAATGCCTAAACAGTCTAACTTACCTCATCATGCTTAATGCTATTATACAAGAAAAGTACAGGGTGGCATAGCAAGTGTTTTAACTAACATTTTCTTTGACATTCTTCTAATGTTCCATGAGCTTTTCCCTGTAGGGATTTAATACAATAAAGGAATTGCTAACAGTTAGAACAATCTACAGCTTACAGGGGTATTGTAACAATGGCTCAGGACTGGTACACCACCAGAAGACCCAAGTTAAAGTCCAGCCTGCTCCATGTGTGTAATAACATCCGTGTAAGTTAAAAATAGGTATGGCAATATTGTTTAAGCTCTATAGGTCACCCCTCAGTCCTTAACAGTCCAGGGAAAAGCCTCAGCCTCACTGTAAATCAAATCCTCCATTCCTGGCAGCAGCATTGTCAATCTTTTCTGCACCCTCAAAAATAAACACATTCTTCCTATTGAAGAATGGCTGAATTGCACACAGTATTCCAAAAATGGCCTCCCCAGAGTCCTGTACGACTGCAACACAACATCCCAATTCCTGTGCTCAGTGGTATGATCAATGAAGGCGCGCATGCCAAGTCTTTCACCTTCCTGTCTACATACAACTCCACTTTCAAGGATTTATGCACCTGCACACCTTAGGTCTCTGGGTTTGCCTCACCAAAATGCAACACTTCACATTTATCTAAATTAAACTCCATCTGCCACTTCTTGGCCCAGCTGATCAAGATCTCATTATACTGAGAAATCATTTTCATTGTCTACTACACAAATATGGGTGTCATGTGCAATACATTCTTCCTATATTCACATACAAATCATTTTGTATAAAGTTAGTGACAAAAAGCAGTGGAGCCAGTACTTGTCCTTGTGGCTCACCACTGGTAACAGGCCTCAGACATAGTATAATCAGCAGTAAGAGCATCAATAAAAACATAAGCAGGCTCAAATGTAGACCAAGCACATGAAGCATGTATTCATAGAAAAGGGAGATTTGAGACTGGCTAAATAGATTACAAAATTATGCATGGGTATATGGTTTAGGTGGATCAGGATTTGAGAATAGGGAAGTGTGGGGTACTGTGTTAATTTAGGGACATTTAAGTTTTTAAAGCCAGAATCAGATGCAAAAGTGGCCAAATTCACAAAAGAGCAGTGAAAGCAGGAGGCAGCTCACAGAAGTGGAAGAAACATGTTAGAGTAGTAAGTTAGAGGAGAGGTAGTTAGTTAACAGGCTGAGGAAAATAAACACCATTAATAAAACAGAGCCAAGGAGGTTGAATAAGTCTTTTGTATGTACTGAGCATAGGAAACTAGCTCAATCACTGCAAAGCAAAATCAATAAATGCTGTACCATACAGCTTAAACAGAAGTGAGGAACTAATGGTTGGGTTGGGGGGGGGGTGGAAAATCACTAATCTGGTTAGATTACATCTTTAGTACTCAGATCATTGAAAATAGGAGGAGAATGCCATTCAGCCCTTCAAGCCCACTTTGTCATTCAATAAGGTCATGGCTGATCCTCTCATCTTTATGCCACATTCCTACTTTCTCCCCATATCCCGAATGCCTTTAACATTCAAAAATTTGTGGTAGAGAATTCTACTGGTTGACTACCATTTAAGTGAAAAAAAGGTCCTTCTCTGTACTAAATAGCATACCTCATATCCAGAGACCACACTATCCCCTGGTTCTAGACTCCCCACCTGGAGAAAACATCCTCCCTGCATCTGGTCTGTCCAGTCTTGATTTCTGTAGGTTTCAACCTGATGTTCTCCCATCCTTCTGAGCTGCAGTTTAACTGGACCTATATTCACTAATCTCACCTTGGCGAGTCCTATCATCCATGGTATCAGCCTAGTGAATCTCTCCTGCACTTTGGCAAATATATCCTCTTAAGGAGACCAAAAGCTGGATGCAATATTCTAGGTGTGGTCTCAAGGCCCGGTATGACTGTACCAAAACATCCTTATTTCTGATGGCAAATTCTGTCACAACGAAGGCCAACATACAATTTGCCTTCCTAATTGTTTGCTGCACCTGCCTGTCTACTTTAATTGACTGGTGTACAGAGACAGCCAAGTCCACAGTTCCCACTGTAATCACTTGTCCTTTGGTTTGCATACAAAATGTATAACTTCACCTTTAGCTGTTGTATTGCATCTAATGAGGTGTTTGCTCAGTCTCTCAACTTGTCTAAAATTATCTGGATTCCTCCTTGCACTGTTCCTCCCCTACCACCCTGAGCTCAGTTCTTAGTCCCACCCAATGTATCAGAGAACATGGAAATGTTACATTTGTTTCCCTGACTGGCCAGTCCAGTCAGTGGCAAAAAAAATGTGCTTAAAATGCAGGCAGTGCGAAAGCAAGACAATCCATTATCTAACAAGCATTAAAAGAGGATGGAACTGGCATTGCAGCATTAGAGCAGAAAGTCAACAGGTGCACAAGATGGTAAATGCTTTTATGAAAAAAGTAGATCCAGAAACCCAGTGTAACTTACAACTGTATGCCAAAACTGGTTCAAACTAGTGAAGTGAATTCTTCCCACCCCCTTGGTTAGTGAGAGATTTACCCAAGATGTGTCTTATTGAAAGAATTTTAGGATCATTTTAAAATGACTCGATGAACCACATGACATTCCTTGTCTGTAATCAATTTGTAATTAAAACTAGGATTATGTAATGCAACAACGTGATCTTTCCTAGCTTGAAGTCAGAAGTATGCACAGTAGGTGTCATGTTAAAAAGGCATATTAGTATTGTTCACATTTTATAAAGTTGATCAGTGGGATCATAGGAGGTTTATCCAACAGTAGTACTGGGAGGGTCCCAATAGTACCCAAACAAATACATTTTAATAACTAATACAATTGTCTCAGGAGCTGCTAGAATAATTCTAATTTAAGTCAAAAAAAAAAAACAGGTTCTCAAATACTTGTTTATTAAATCAACCATAAAATTACATTCTTACTTCACTTCTTCCTATTCTCCAGCAGAGGTCAGAATTGGTAAATTTAAGTGGAGAGGCTCCCAAGTCAAGGTAACAAATCTAAAGAATGAAGAGGAGAACATTTTTGCTATCTTAGAGTCTGGTTTTGTATGATTTCAACTTTGATTTTTATTAGGACGGTTCTCCTATTAGTAGTGAGAAAGTGATCACAATACCAAGTACTGTTAGAGTCTTTACAACAAAAGATTTCTGCTGCAAATGAAACTAGAAGCTACACAATGCAATTGTTTTGCTAGGAAGCCCAAGTATTTCACATAAACCTATGAATGCAGATCCACACTTAATTTATCCCAGAACAGCTTAAATATGCATATTAAGCAAAGATATATTCCATTTAGCCTCCATGCATTGGAATAGAAATATTGAGAAAGGTACATTCCCAGATAGGCTCCGGTGGTGAACCAGCATTTTCAAACAGATAATAGCCAACAAAAAAGGTTAATCTTGAGAACAGGTTGGATCATAGTGAAGATGTTAACAGGTTTCCACAATTTTTAAATATAGTGCATTACTGCACTATATTTAGGTAGGATCGGAACATCTACCTTCTGTGCTAAAAGTAAAAAGAGTCATGTATTTCAGAATGCTACACAATAGCCAAGTCAAGTTCCCAGTAGACTACAAGCATTGCTTAACACCTCAATAGGTTACTAGCTTACAATCACTCAAGTTCACGATCATCTTGCCACTCAAGTAATCCTTGAACAAGAAAGCATAATTTATTGAAATGTGTGCACCAGAACTGCTTTTAACTTTTTTTAAAAAAATAGTGAACCAATCAATGTTGTTCAAAATAGTTATGCTCATTGTTGAGCACAGTACATGGGGCCAGGGAAAAGCATTTGTCATGTTAATTTTGGAAGAAACAAACCAATGCATTTTATATTAATGTTGTATACTGCTAATGGTTGCATTATTAGCCATACAGCTTAATAGTTGGAACATTCTCAAACTAGCTCACATAGCCATTAAATTACAAACACAAGTGGTTGTATTATCCAACACTGATACCAATACACAGATGCATCAATGTCAGTGTACACATTTCAGGAAAAATATCCATTGGGAGGATAGTATTTCAACTTGCAATGGCAAAGTGCATGAACATGATAAAATACTGGCGCTTATGCCTCAGCAAATGTTCTTGATGCACCAAAACAGTGTGCTCTTCCACTGCAATTAGAAATACTTAATGTTTGATGTACACAACATTCAGAGCCAGAGCCAGTCTTCAAGAATTGCCAGTTGTCCCTCAGCATACAATAAAAAACAGAAATATCACCTGCAATTACCAGAAACTAGTGTTTATTCATGACATAAATCAAAACTTAACCTGCAATAACAGCCACAAAAAGCGCAATAGAATTGCCCATTATCTTTAGCCTACTATGCATGTTAAATGCTCAACTATAAATGGCATTTCAATAAACCATCATTACAGATAATAAATGCTGATTTATGAGTGCATAATACCAATGGAAATTTAGCTGAACCAAGTACAGAGGAAGCAAGAGCACCAAATCTAAATTACAGTAAATGACTACTAATCAAGTGTTTGTTTACCTCAAGAAATGTGGCAAGTTTAACAGACAGCCAATTGTCAAACAACATGCAGTGTTCTTCCTACTGTAATTTGCCACTTAACAACTTGCATTAAGTACAAGTGAACTTATTACCTCATGAAGCATCATTCACCTGAAATGTGCACATACATTTACCCGTTCTCCTGCAAGCAGAGAGAAACGCCCACCACCTGGGTACCAGCAGAAATATTACATGTAATACAAAAGCCTCTTCTGTGCCATCATTTTACATATAAAACATTGAGTAGTCTGATCAACACATACAAGTATTGCAACATTAATTCAATTTTAGGGAAAGGAGGGTGACAAAGAAGCAAAGTGCAAGATTAAAAATTACATAATATCTTGCCAAAAATTCAGACAGAGGGTGTTTAACTGGCCATTCATCATGTGTATAATATTGAGGTAGTATACTGTCCCCTCCTTGGGACTGATGTTTTCATATGCTCCCCTGCCAGAAAGGCCCGACATGAAAATTTGTTCACTAATATGTTGCATTTCAGTTTGGTCAATACAGACACAGAAGTCTTATGCCAATGCATTACTTGCTGTGCCTTGAGCAAATAGCTGGTCCGAGCTTCTAACTGGACTACTACTATCTGTTGAGCAAGTCTTTGTGAACAGGTAGGCAAAGAAAACCATCTATGATGACAGGACACGAAACACCAACCTTCAGAAAGATGTTCAATCTAATACAACACAGTATTCAGTTAATGTCAAATCTCAGTTACTGAAATTTAGATACAAGTTTTACAGCCCTCCCATCATTTTAAGGCAGTTTGCTCAAGCCCTCAGAAGTACCAACTGCTCTATATTAACTTTATACACCTCTAAATGGCAAGCTACAGAGACCAAGACAGACTTCAGACATGTATTTCACTGAAATTAAACATGTCTATTATTGGAAAAAAAAAAATCAGTATTTCCTGACTAGTTCCAACCAAGTTCTGTTAATTGTTCTATTAAATGCTTAAAGGGCATTTACCAACTGCCTTAGAAATTTACATCCAACTCTCAGGTATAACTGATACAATACTTTGGCAAGATGAAACACTACTCTTAGCAGTACAGTGCTATTTGTTCCTCTGCTGTTGGTTCAGCTGTTTAAAGAACATAATATAAAGTAACTGCACTTTCACATAGCTTCAAACTCATCAATTCGCTGTTTTGTGTTGCCTTGCCGTATCTGTCGGAGGGTCTTATATTTGTCACGGCCCGCCTTAACATTTTCAGCATGGATGACGTCATTTACGGTTTTCTTTGTCTCATCACGGGCATGGGCCAATTCAGAACTTAGTGCCTATTAAATAAACATGGATTAAGCAGTCATTCAATAAGAAACTTTACAACTTGCATCTAAATGTTTTTAAGTTAGCAGAAAACAGCAATCATAAACGAAAGCTCTGTTGAAGCTTTAAGGGTGTACAAAAATTAACCAAAAAGCTCTTCTTTGGAGCGTTTGCCAAACAAAAATTCAGCCATAACATCCACTGAGTCTCAATAGCATTGTCTACCTCTAACGATCTTTAGATTTCAAATGCACGTTTGTACAGGAACTATTCACAACCAGATAGTCTTATTAGCCAACTTACATATCACTACAAATTATACAAAATATTACACAATTAAGAGATGGAGACAAAAACTATAGGCTCAGAGATAGGAGGAACTGTATATGCTGGAGAATCTGAGATAACAAGGTGTAGAGCTGGATGAACACAGCAGGCCTAGGAGCAGGAAGGCTGACGTTTCGGGCCTAATCTCGGCTAGTTAGT